ATCAACTTATTATTTTTTGATGATTTCATAGACTTGAAGGTCTCTATTCACTAACTAATAATACTATACCATTAAAAGAAACATAAAATATAAAATTAATAATATGAAATAAATAAAACTGATAAATGACAACTTTAAGTTGAGATTTCGCATTACAAATGCTGGGAGCAGACTCATCTGAAGTTTTCAGACTTCTGGTGGTCCGAGATCATTTGGCATGAACACAAAACACCCAAGCAAGCTTTTTCACATTGTTGTTGGTTTATGGTAAGCAGCCGAAAACTGAACACAAGCTGATGCAGCAGGTTATTTTGCAGCAACCAGTAGTGTTCTAAGAATGTGGGGAAGAAAGTAGGTACATATCGAAGGGCAGATCTAAGACTTGCATAAACAATAGAGTAATTCAAAAACAAAATCTTACGGGAATCTTATTACACAAGCTAATAAGAAACATCTGCAGGCCACAATTGTTCACTGAATCTGGCCAGGAAAAAAGCCAGTTTTTTATCAACCAAATGTTGTATGATGTTACTGTTCAACAAGTGGGTAAAGATATGTTTTTTCCGGCTCTGCTAAAGATCCAAGAGAGGATTCCTTTTGCAGAAGTTGACACCGCCCATGAAAGCTAATTTTCGTTTCGAGTGCCTGCTTTCAGGTGGTGTTGCTGGAGATTGGCTATAACATGCTTACATCATAACCCAAAATTGTCTTCTTCACAAGCAAGACACATCAGCTTCTTTCTTAGATTGTCGTCGATGTCAATGACAGGTAGCAATCTCCATGATATATTCTTTTGTTCGAAGAAACAACCTATGGAGTGGTGTCCATCAGACCCTTGGCAACAACTTTTCTTCCTGGTTAGATGTGTTCAATAGTAAATTGATTCTAAGTGTCCCAGCAGAAACACATCAAGAAAAATAGTAAAGCAATTAGATGCTTTATTTCATATTACATTCATTATTATTACAAGAAAGGATCAAGCAGCAAAGCAAAGTAGTTCCACTCCCAAACCCACTTCCATCTTATATATCCTGCAGAGAAGTGGAGGATAAAACATGGTGATGAGGAAATGATCGTCTCACAAAGGATCATCATAACATCGTGAATCGCAACAGCTCACAACTATCTTACCATAGCAAGGTGTCAAAGGTCTGTATGATCTAGTCGCTGTCGCTGCTGCTGCTGCTGTCGCCATGGTGCTCCTCACCGTGCTTCTTCTCTTTCTTCTTCTTCTTCTCCTTCTTCTTCTCCCCGTGTTCCTCTCCGCCATGGATCTTTTCCTTGACCTTCTCCACTATTCCTCCTCCTCCTCCCTCCTTGTGATGTTCTTCCTCCTTGTGGTGCTTCTCCTCCTCCTTGTGGTGTCCTTCCTCCGTGTGGTGCTTCTCCTCCTCCTTGTGGTGCCCTTCCTCCTTATGCTCCTCCTGCTTGTGCTCTCCTCCGATATGGAGCTTCTCCTCGATCTTGTGAATGATTCCTGCCATTCCTTTTTCGTCTCTTTGCTTGCTCTGATGCTACTTCCTACCGATGGAGAATGGAAACCGTGACGAGTCCCTATTTATCGACGCAAAGACAGGGATCCTCCACCGAGGCTTACAGTGACCGAATTGCCTAGATACGAAGAAATGTAAATCCGGTGTACCTTTTCAAACAGCAGACACGTAATAATCACTGAAAATAGTTGCCACGAAATAACGATCTAGTTGAAAGGCAGCCCACGCGGCTTTCTCCTGTTGGTCTGTGTCCCTTCGATCGTGTTTTCATCCCCTCGGAGTCGACGCGGAGTTCCTGGCGTCGGGTTCACGTGAAATCGACCGACCTTGGTGCCACGTGTCCTGGACATCGGGATGGCCGCAGGTCGGTGGTTTGCGTCCATCGACCCGTTCGCTTCCCCGTGCGAATATTAATTAAACATGCGTGGAGCCCACAATAATCTGCCGATCTGTCCCTTTCCTAACCCTGGTAGACGACGAAAGTAACCAGGCTCAGTCAACTATTTCATTTATTAAAAACTCTTTCTTCTCCATCAACGGAGCTACCCGCATCCTTTAATTGCTTCTATATTGGATGATGATGGGTTCATATGCGGGCCCCGCTGTTGATTCCGTCTGCGAGGCGAACAGGTGTATGAAAGCGGTGATCACTCCCGGGTAAGAAAAGGTCATCCCTTGCCTGTCGGCAACGCAAGTTGGGGATTTTGATGGGTTTAAGACGACGGGGAATGGATGAGGACTTTTGCTCATCCCGATTTCCTTTTCGCAGCCAATAATTCATCGCGGCATCCAATCCAATCCAATCCAATCCAATCGATTGCTCCATGCCAACACACAACGATTGTAATGTCGGTGAGCCCAGAGGGAATCGACGTGGCCATCGGGCTATCCCTATTCTTTTTCTCTTACACAATAATTTATTATGACATTATATTCTCATCGATTTGACCCTTGGGATGACCTTTTCGATAGCTGTGAAGAACCGAAATTATACGATTAGTTTTCGATTTCTAGAAATTGAATCTTGAATTGAGCTCCGGTTTCAAACCAAATAACGATAAAATAAAATAAAATATAAATAGAGTTTATTAAATTAAAACTTTTGATTTGGAGTTTATTAACCTAAATCAGTATTTTTGATAGAGTACTTTATTTTTTTTTCAATTGAAATAGGTGGGTTCATTATAATTCTTTTTCTCTTATATAATTGAGATGAGATATATTGATGGTTAATTATCTGACATGTCATTGTCACATGACACTAAATGAAAATAGATAAAATAAACTTTTTTTATTCATGATAATAAAAATAATAATAAAAAATTCTCGTTATTAATAACAATAAAGATAACTATAAACTTTCTTCTCGAAAGATAATTATAAATTTTATTTGTGCTCTTTACGATAAGTATAAAATCTTGCATTTAAAACTGAGAAAAAAGATGACATATCTTGATTATTTAATTTCATACTCATATGTCTCGGAGATTACTAATGGAAACGTCGGAGGGATTAAGTTAAGAAATTTTTTTTGACTTCAATCTTTATACATGTAACATATTAGGAGCATAGTATTTATATTTTATAAATACTTCAAATAATTATTCACATACGGGTTCGGACCATGTTGGACTAATCAAGACATCAATGATATTTTTTTTCTAATAATAATAAAAGTTTATTAATATCTAAATTCATTTTGGTCCTAATTTCATCAAAACCGATGATTTTAGAACCGCAGTCTCCCTTAATTATTTTAGTTAGAATTATTTGGATTGATGATTCTATTACCGTAATTACGAACTTATATCTATTTACTTTAAATCGAGAAACTCTTGCTATAATATGTGTACTTAAAAGTTCAATATATCCCGTAGATTCATCGTATGTCATATTTAACAAGTGGGACAACGATTTAGAGTAGTAAACATTTGTTATTAGCATCCATTCAGAAATTTCAGATGGATGGCTCCTAATTTTGACTGATATTATTCATTTTTAGTCAAAACTAATGGTGTTTTGAGAATGTATTTTATATTTTTATTATGTATTTAGAGAAAGAGATTTGAGTGAATATGTAGTTGTGAAATACTTTGACTATCTAATAAATAAGAGATGAAAGTATTATTGTGACAGATTTATCATTCTAATATTTTTAATATTTATTCAAAAGTGAATATATATTTTTTTTAATTTTAAATAAAAATATAAAATTAATAGATGAATGTATATAATCCTATAAAGATATTCGTATAGCTCATATATAAAAAAAATAAATATTTTAATCATATGATCCAAAGATGAAAAAAAAACATGTATTGTAGGGAAGAAATTAAAAGATGTCTCGAAAAAAATAATATAGAAATTAAAGAATAGAGTTATTATCGTTTATAAGATTATTGATTCAGCAAAACTGACAGCTCTACGAGCAAGCGGTGTGATAGACTTGTGAGAGAGAGTTGGTCGAATCTATAGAAATTGAAGAGAAAATAAGGGTCAATCTTATAAATATAGAGAATGTTATAAGATTTTTTTTAAAAATATATTAATATTCCATAAATATTAAAAATGCTAATATTATGCTAAGGTGGTATTAGTATTTGAGCATTTGCAACACGACATCCAAATAAAATATGATATGAAAAAAATATTAGATACTAATTCACGTTTGAAATGTAATTTAGGCTTTGAATGCACATTTAAAGATTTAAATAAATTTTTTTATGTATTATTTTAAATCTGATAAAATCATATTTCTTTGAAACTAATAATAATAAAACATTGTTTTCATCACTTTCGAACAAAAAAATTTCATATAATGTTAGATAATATAAATAAATAATACTTATAACATTACAGATAACTGTTTGAATCAAATACGTTTTCAAATTGTCAACATATAAATTCTTTTTGCAAAACTTTTAACTAGTAAAAACTTATATATCATCTAAAGCATATGTATTAATATTTTCTAAAACATTTTTGATATAGTCATCCGATATTTATCCGAATTGTATATCCTCATATAATCAATAATTTTGATACCTCTTTTTATTTCCTTATACTTCCCACAAAACAATTATTCCTTCTTTTATTTCCTTCGTAATATGAATATCAAATTTATTAAATATATCAAAATTAATTAATATATAATCCTCTATATCAATCTATTTATCAGAAATACAAGAAAATTCAAAACCATAACTAATATAATTTTTTTTACACTTATATGAATTCATTTGATATCAAATCGGTCCTCAATAGATCAAGAGATTTTGTATTCCATCATTCAATCATCTGTACAGTAACAACTTTGTTAAGTCATTAGCTCCTTTGTTAGCTGAGTCAGCGCAGATTATCGACTTCATGGGACCTGATCGAGTCAACCCACTCCTCGACTCACCGGTGCGGTAGGCGAGAGGGTAAGTTAGAGAAGTGCAACTAAGTTTTGTTTGCCTACGTATATATAATGAGTTTCCTGGTATGGTTTAGACCCCTGCTTTTGCGCCGTTGATACTGGAGAGAGGGAGAGAGAGAGAGAGAGAGCAGCGGAAGTGCGAAGAGCGAAACCCTAGACGCCGTCACCATGGTGAGCGATTCGTGGAAGCCCGGTTGTTTGTGATATTGCGATCGTCTCGTGTTGTGTTCCTGGTGATCGATCGAGGTTTTGTTCTTTGATCCTTTTCTGTTTGTTTCTGGTGGCTGGTTTCGATCTGTAGTCTCTGGTCGCGAACGAGGACTTTCAGCACATTCTTCGTGTTCTGAACACGAACGTCGATGGAAAGCAGAAGATCTTGTTCGCGCTTACCTCCATCAAGGGTATCGGTCGCCGCTTCGCCAACATCATCTGTTAAAAGGCCGACGTGGACATGAGCAAAAGGTTGTTATTCTTTAATCCTTCCTCCTCCTTGGCTATTTCTTGATCTTAGTGTTTATTTAAGGGCTAATATTTAGCGTTTGCGCGTGTTGGTATTGTGGAAGTTTTATTTACACCTCGCTTCCTGATTGTAGGATGTACATTATGCTTCTTACATTGAAAACTTATGCATTGGTTAGAGAGTCTTTTTTCGAGCACAATATTTTTGAGATATCGTTGCAAATAGTTCTAAACATATGGTTAATGATCACCGGGATTTGAAATTTTGGTATCTTCTGGCGGAATATTCTTTGATGTCTCCTTGCGTTGAAATGTTCTTCTTCTTTTACTAGGGCTGGTGAGCTGTCGGCTACTTGATGTCAGTGGTTTTCAATCCACGCCAGTTCAAGATCCCAGATTGGTTCTTGAACAGAAAGAAGGACTACAAGGATGGCCGGTACTCTCAGATTGTTTCAAACGCATTGGACATGAAGCTCAGGGATGACCTTGAGAGACTGAAGGAGATAAGGTTGGGTACTCCATACTTTACAAATTTTTTTATGATGAATTCTGTTTTTATTCTTGAGAAATGGTTGTAAGAGTTTTTCCTTTGTAAGCATGCTGGTAATTTTCCATCATGAAATATGTAAATTTTAATTCTATTTATGCTCCATTCATTAATATATCATAAAAAGTTATGTTGCATTAGATTCATATTCTATCTATCATTTGTCACATTCCATTTTTAATTTGACCTTTTAGCTTTTATTTTATGTCATTCACCTGTTGTCGGTTCATCTTAAAATAAAAATTATATATTTTCATATGGGTCTCAATGTTCTTTTTAGTAGAGTGACATAGTTGTCTTACTTATCTATATATGGTTTTTGGCTGTGAGACAGGGGTGTAATATCTAGAACAGTAGTTTGTCTAAATTTACCTTTTCACTCACCCATTCTTTCTCTGTCATTTGGACAGAGTTTCTATGTTTCCTATGAGGCTTGCTCTGTATGAATAATAAGTTGTCCTGAAAGTTCTAGTGGATATATCATTTTTATGTTATTGTTTCATTTTGATTTTGTTCTTGTGTAATCTTCATTTTCAAACTATTAGATAGTCGCGATACTGATCATTCTACTCACAAGATTGGGGGTGCATTGTGAGTAAACCCCCTTGTTGAGTTTTAATGGTCTAGTAAAAGGATACCAACTTTGTAAATGAATCTAATCAGCTTAAATGTTCTGCTGCTTGGTGGTTAATTTAAACTGTCATGTCAGGTGTTTTTATACATCATCTTTTGCCATTTGAGGTGGTTTTGGTTGAATGGATTTATAGTGCTAATGCTGTCCTCAAGGACATTCTTGATGTTGAATATTCGTTGTGTGACTTCACCTGCAATTGATATTGTCTTGTGTAATGTTTATTACTCTCGATGTTATCCTTCAACAGTTCAGCAATCTTTGGCTTTACACTTTCATAGTGGCTTGTGGTGATGCTTGTGGTTCACTAAAATGGCTTATTATTGGTGCCCTAAATTAAATGATTTGTGACTTGTGAGGTTGTTGAGTAACTCAAGTTAATATTGCATTTTGACAAGTGATTGGGATGTGTTGATATAGTTATCGGTATAATGTGCTTAACAATGCGATGCATCTTGAAATTCTTGGATAGTGGTGATAGTGAAATCGAAAAACATGGTGACCGATTTGGCCAGATGGTCTCACAGCAAGGCATGCCATGTTATGGCTGACTGATTCGAGATCTGATTTTTATATTTATTCTGAAATACACTTCGATAAAAGGGAGTCGATCTCGCATTTTCACATGTTGGACTGAGTGCTTTGTACACCTTTTCTTATGTCTAACACTATTGAATTATCATCTTACTCTATAGGTTGGAGTTAAGCATCAGTTTGTCTGCTGCAGGAACCACCGTGTTGGTGTCTCAAAGAAGCGATGAACTTAACCATCTAATTATGCTCCTTAATTCTTCTATTGTTTGGGAACTTGATGGCTCTGCTTAGATTTTTTATTCTTTATGTCAGACATGACTATCGGTTTATTCATTTGGCTGAGTTTGGTGACAGTTTTTTTTGTTAACTTGACGCCTCTGTTAATATTGGCATTCTCCCTTTCACCTGATCAATCCTCCAGTGCCTTGTGGAGTTTGAGACAGTCCTTTCCTGTAGGTCACTCACTATATGCATTATATGCATATATGTGAATGAATGAATAACCAAATGTGCAATTCCTCCATGGCAAACTTGCATTGTATCCAAGTATCGGACATTAAATATAATCTGTATAAAATGATAGTTTTGCGAATTTAATGGTCATAGAATTTTCATTCTCAAGGAGACTACAAATCCTGCTACTAGTGCTATCAAGACAACTACAAATCATGCTACTGGTGCTATCAAGACAACTATGGAGGTTGACCGGATCACATTGGAATCATATATATATATATATATATATATATATATATATATATATATATATATATATATATATATATATATATATATATATATGAAGTACGTGAGAAACTATGTTATATAAAAAAAAAAAATGGCCATTTAAAAATCTGGCGCATAATTTTGATACGAAGTACAAGTAAAATCCATTTTACTCATATTATAAGCTAATATTTCATTTTTTCATGTCGATGAATGGGACTTGATGGTGTGTTAGCCGACATGTACGCGAGCACGCAAGCCGACATGAATACACAGCACGCGGGGCTTTTCCGCCAAAGGCCATCCGATCGGACACCAGAGAATGCTGTCGGTATACGATAAAGCCAGCGCCAATGGGCGAAGAGGACGCTTCCGTCGATGTCGGATTCTTAAAAGTGTGTTGTTCTCCGCACCGAGTCGTTGATATAGAACTTCCCACTCGCAGTTTATCCTCTTCCCTCTGAACGTAGTCGTTTAACGCAGTCGTTTTTTCAACCCAGTCTCGCAAATTTTCGATCTTTGGGGGAATTGTGGGAGCCGTGACAAAAAGTTGCAGTCTTGGTTGCTGGGATTCCATTTCTTTGCTCCATATTTTTCCCTCTCTATTTTCTTCTGATGTAGCCTCACCTAGGTATCTTTCTTCTGCTTTTCCTGGGGGTTCTCCTTTCGTTGCTTGAGGCGATCCCAAAGTGGCCGCATAGTCTAATCTTCGCGCTGAAAGCTGGTGCTTTTGACTCTGGGAGAGGTGAGGTTGCTCCTTGTTTCGGTGCTTGCATTGGTTTTCAATCCTTTTCTGATCTTTTTAGGCCGATTCTGAGACATTGGAGGTTTCCGTCGATGAAATTGTTCTTGGTCTTGATCAGAAGTTTGTGGTTTGAGGGCATTTCTTCTTCAAAATCCCCCTTTTTGAGGTCGTAAAATGAGCCTTCGATGGTTGATCTGACATGAGGCTTTCATCCTGCAATTGCCACTATCCCCGAATCTGCTGCTGCAAGTCGTCCTCCCGCTATTACCCGCCTTGCCCTCCGAAGTCGCAATGGGGAGACGCCGAAAACGTTTCCTCGAGCCCTGCTCCAGCTTCGACCATTTTGGCGAAGAAGCCTTCTGAAGAAAAGGTTGTGGTTGAGCAGACCAGTCCCGAGGGCGGGAAAGATGAGATCTCGCTGAAGAGCAGCCTAAAGAAGCCAAGATCATCGGATTTAGAACCGTTCGGAAAGGGAAATGTCAAATGGTTGGACTTACTGGGGAAGGAGCTTGTTGAGATCAAGGAATTTGAAGCAATGTGAGTTGTCTTCTTGTTATATGCTATAATAGTATGGTGCTTCCTGAAGTGGTTCTTATCACTGTCCTATTTATAATTTACAGCAGATTTTGAGGTTACTGCAGTGTTTTTTGTTCTACGGTCAGCAAAATTTGGCATTATTGGACATGGCTTGCTTAATTAGATTGGCATGCCTACATTGAGATGGATTTAACCATAATCAACTTTACAGAACCCATGTAGTTCTTGATTTATTTTGGTTAAGTTAGAAGCTTAATTCCTTAAGTTTATACTGCACTATTGGACATTACAGTGAACTAAATCTTATGCACTATCCTGCAGCACACTATCTGCAGTTTTTTTAGATAGCTGGTTTCCCAATTAAAACAATGCAAGTTAGTAGTTTCTTTTGAGCAATATACTGGTTGTTCTTCTTAATCTTTGAATGTTCTTCACTCCATGTTAGCCATTGTCAGTAATATTTTGTGTTGTTCACAAACATAAATATTTCTTATTCTGTTTTTCCTAATGTCCCTACAGTCCATCTCAGCATCTTCCACTCATGTCACTATTTTCTTTATATATTATTTCTTGAGTTTCATTGCTTTAAATTTATATACTTTGGAAATTCAAACATTGGTTTAGATGTGGTTTGAATTTATTTCTTTACTTAAAAGATGTATAAATGATGCTTTATAGAAGCCATATATCCATGGTTTTGACAGACTTTGGAATTGACGGGTTGGGTATCTGTCTCCTAAGTTTTTGAGGATTCTTGAAAGGACAATAATTGTGATGATTAAAGAAGAGGAAAGCAACACTGAGAATGAAAGAACGAAAGCAACACTGAAAAAGCCACTTACTAACGTCAATGCCAATTTGATTTATACTGCTGCATAGAAGAATGACCATGCATTCTAGATATTAATAGCTGACGTTGTTATGTTGCCTCAATGGTAAGGACTTCACTGTAGTTGTTGCTTACTGTTTGATTATGATTTGTTGGTCATTGGGCTTGCAAATATTGTAACTCCATAGGTGACAACAAAGTAGCTATTTGCAGATAAAGAATCAGATCAGCGAGTCTTGTTTTTCTCCTTCGATGTCACTGATATGGAAACTGCATTTTGTATCTTGAACTTGCAATTGGCTTGATGAGGAGATTTGTCTTGAGCAACTGGCCTGATCTAGGTATCTGTGTTGAACATTGCTCCAATTAAATGTATATTTACTAAAGCAATCGATTTGCCTGAAGCCCACCATGCATGACTTAAGTTTAAACTTCAACTATAACTAATATGGTAGTTATGGTTCGTGCAATTGGGTGTCAATTAAAATTGCACTTGTTGTGCAAATAGAGAAATTATAAATAGACCCAGACCCAGTTTTTGAGATCCCAACTGTTACTCATGTAGTATTTCAGATTTTGCGATGGATACAATTGGAATGTAGATAAATTGGTGTCAATCTGGCGATTCCTATTCAGTGGAACGAAAAGCCCATATAAAGCTTTACTAACATGCTCTTGATGAGATGACTTTGAGGTCTGCTCCACCTATTAAGAGAGATAGTCTGTGTTTATGGACTTTCATTAAATTGGTCCATCTGCTTTTGTTGTTCATCTTGTAAGTAAAGCCTTCAATTTGTGTAGAAAAAATTTGATTGTCCTTATTCATTGAGATGCATGCGAGGGGGAATGACTTATTTCATGTTGCCAAAAATGGTGATGTTATCTAATGAATTAAATGTTTGTTATCTGCTATGGTTTGTGTTTAATCAGTTGAGCCCAAATACTGATTGACTGCTATTTCCTTACCTTCAGGAGAGAATTTATAGAACATTCCATAGAGCCTTTATATGATTATTCTGTTGAAAGAGGATTTTTAATGCTTATGATGACTGAACAGATGAAGTGGTTGTCCTATGAATTCTATAACATAGTTTTGTATTTCTTACAGTGAGTCTGAAGAATCAGAGGATTATGCTGATGACAGCACAGCTTGCATTTGTGTTATTCAATGACAATAATTTACTTCTCTGAGAGTCTTCCCGGAAAAGAACTAGCGAGCATCAATCATCCAGCTGCCATTAAGATCTGCTCGATGTTCTGATTCTGCGAGTTCATTTTTGTCGAGAATCGATTAAGCCATCAACCATCCAGCTTTCCTGCTCTTTAAAAAGTCCTTTCAAGGTTGGAAGAAATTTATCCAAATCAAGCAGATGCTATTGGTCTCATTGGCATCCAGCTCTGGAGTTGGATGGAGTAGATGCAGCAGTTCATACATTGGATGCAGTTGGAAGCCATTGATGTCTCTGACGTCCAACCGAAATGCAGATGTACTTTTGGTGCATTTCATATGTTGGATTCTAGCTGAAGTGATTGTTCATTTTTTTTGTTATTCTTTTTCACTTTGTACTTGTTGATCAGTTGATATTGGTTTTAATTTTTCTTTTCTGCATGAAGATGATGCTTGCTGTTTCACTCTCGACCTTTTGAATTCTAGATGAGATATTTATCCATGTCATCCGATCTACCTCTCCATTTTGTCCAGATTACTTATCAGCCTTAAGCTGATTGCAAAATAAATTTAAAGAAGTCTTGTGCAACTTATCAATTGCTTCTCATATTGGCATTAGAAAAATATCTTCTGTAGAAAATAAATAAGATTCTTTCATTGATTCTTTCAATTAACTGAAATTTACATGCCTTCTATGCATACTTTTCAGCATCAGTTTGGATTCTGAAGTGCAGGATAAATTTTTTGACAATTTTAGAAGCATTAAATACAAACACGTTTTTTTGTTGCATATATATATATATATA